AGGGAGGGGCACCACCATTGCACCACAATGCAGATTTTATGTTATAGCCATTATTGCAACAGGATTTAAGTACAGGAATAAATGTATCTTGCTTCAATTGTATAGAGAATAATCGCAATCACAACTGTATAGTTTTTGTCCCCTTACTTAAAAAAAGATATACTCTCCATCAAGGAAATGCAGCAGAAGTTTACCAGAATAATTCCTGGGATAGCAAGACTGGTCTACGGATGAGATTGAAGAGACTGGGCTGCATTCTGTTGAGTTAGGAGAATCAGAAATGATCTTATTGAAACTTACAGGATTCTTAAATGCACAGGCAAGGAAGATGCAGAAAAAATGTTTCCCCTCACTGGAATATCAAAAATCAAGGACACAGTCTCAGAATAAGTGACAAGCTGTTTAGGAGGAATTTCTTCATTCAGAGGGCAATGAATCTTTGGAATTATCCAGAAAGTTGTAAAAGTTTAAGTAATGGGAATGTTCAAAGATGTTCAAGGTGGATAATTGCCAAATCATCAATGACATCAAGGGAGATGCAGCAAAACGGCTGAGGTAGGTGATCCATGATCTAGAGAAGCAGAATAGTCTAAACCTGGTCCCATTTTCTTCTTGGAAAGGACAGCACATGCCTTTTGAATTCATTGATACACTGTCTTTTAGGATCACAAGACACCCGAAAGTGCGAAACAGCCTTCCAAGTACTTTATGAAATATAGTCATTGCTTTACTATAGAATGTTGGGATCAGCTGGCAGTTCTGATGAAAGGTCATGCTCATAGAGCCATAGAGTTATACAGATACTTTGGTCCAACTCGTCTACGCTGACCAGTCATCCCAATCTGACCTAGTCCCATTTACCAGCATTTAGCCCATAGCTCTGTAAATCCTTCTGATTCATGTACACATCCAGATGCCTTTTAAATGTTGTATTTGTACCTGCCTCCTCTGGCAGCTTGTTCCATTCAGGCACAGGCCTCCGTATGAAAACATTGCCCCTTGGGTCTCTTTTAAATCTTTCCCCTCTCACCTTGAACCTGTGCCATCTAGTTTTGGACTCCACTACTGTGTTGACTATTCACCCTATCCGTGCCCCTCATGATTTTATAAATCTCTATAAGGTCACCCCTCAGCCTCTGAAGTCCCAGGGGAAAATAGTCCCAGCCTATTGAGCCTCTTGTTATAGCTCCCAAGATATTAACCTCAGCTGCCTGATTTGCCGCTTATTTCTAACATTATATTTCATAGTGTATTCTGTTTTTGAACCAGGTCAAAGTTCTTCCAGTCACAATGAACAATTGACAAGTAATCGCAGTCACCATCAGAATCTGGAAGGTGTACCATGGGCAGGAAGTGAAATTCCTCCCTTTGCATTTCGATAACCTGTAGGTTAATGCAGTAATGGTACCAGTTGAAGGAGCACCGGGAAGCTGGGCTGGCTAGGCGCGGGATTTTAGCCGGTTAACCTCCAGCCCCATCATAACGCAAGATATTTACATCTTTACTCTGCCAGCTTTGTGTCTGAATTGTGTCCATTTCCGAAGAAGGGTAAAGACCCGAAAGTCAGTCTTCCTGCTCCTCTGATGCTGCTTGGCCTGCTGTGTTCATCCAGCTCCACACCTTGTTATCTCAGATTCTCCAGCATCTGCAGTTCCTACTATCTTTGTGTCTGAATTCTCCGGGTTTAGGGAATTTAATATATTCCCATATAGATTGTACACTTCGTGCGCATAGCTCCTCCAGATAGAAGTCGCACGAGATACAGATATACTGTGTCGCACAAGTATGTGTCATTGTGAGAGACATTTGTCCAAAGGGAGTCTGCCGTTTGTAGCCGGACTAACTGGTTGGAATTACCTCCGATTTACATATCTGGAGAGGGAAGTGGCAGTGCACGGTACTAATTTAAATCAACTCGAGATGTTAGACATAATTCTTTGTCATTCAGTCTATGAATATTAAACTACTGGGCACAGTCTAACTATAATTGGGCATTATGCAGTTTGGGGGGATGGGGTTTTAGAGTTGCAATCCACACGCTAGGCGACGATATAGATTGGATTTATGAAGTTAGAGGGGAATTTATTTAGCCTGGTTGTCTCTGATCGTTGCCAAATCTCTTTTCATCATGGGAGTCTATTATATTCCAAATCGAGAAAACAGACCTAATAAGGTACTTGCATCTAATGATTTTGCTAATGTGTTTTCAGGGAATTCGTTTTCTTGATGAGGCTTTCGCCTTGAGACGACAATCTCTGAATATAATCGAGCTTATTAGGAACATTCCGAATTCGGCATCGAATGCACTCATCCTGCTTACAAAAGATCGAAAGATAGACGGGGGACAACACACGCTGGAATGCTAAATGCAGATATCAGAGAAGTTAGTTGGCACAATTTTTTGTATCTGATAGATATCGAGTTATTCGAATTGTTTGTTCTGCGTAAGACTCATTAAAAGCAATTCATAGACAAGAAATGTGAAATGTCACTGTCTGACCTACATTGCGAGTGTTTGCAAGGGCCAGATGCCACGTCCAAAAACCGAGCTATATTATCCAGCAGCAGACAACCAGCATGGTCTGGAACAGCAAACCGAGATCTTCAAAAGTTGAGGAATGTGAGGAAACTAACAAATCAGAGTCAACATTTCCCTAACAGCCTGCAAGTCCTTGTACAAATGTGTGAGAATGGCTGCTGTTTACAGGTTGACTTGTATTAGAGACCTTTAAGGAGCCCTTTCATTGCTCAAGTAACAATTTTTTCTAACTAAAGCTGGCCCGCTTGCTTTTATGGCATTATCCGCGCACTCACGGGACCCAAATATGATAACGATATTAACCGTACTCCTGAAACGGCTGGAAATCAGGATTGCACTAATACACAAAATATTGAATGTGAAGCCCAAAGATTCGACTCCTTGAAATGTAAAAACTACGAACAGTTGTTATCTGAACACTAAACGAGCAATCCTTTTCACCCAGTCTATAGATCCCAACATTTAAATGCTGCACGCGAAGCGAGGGAGATTAGAAAGAATATAGATTTACACTCTATATATTGTCAGTTTCTCAATACTGTACATTCCTTTGCTAAAGTTCAAAATTCACGTTTCATACCGAGCAACAGCATTGCTAATTCCAGACATACAGTGTCGCATAGCACGTGGAACAGAAACTATATATCCGCTAAAAATATAAATATAGTTTCGCATCAGAGTAACTCGTGGAAAATAATTTGTCACGTTATATTTGTAAAGAGCAACTTGTAAGCGCCGATCTAACACTAGCGAAGGATTTAAATAATCTCAAAGAACCTGTTAGAGACTCGCCCATTCCGTTATGGTGTGTGCTGTGTTACATTCGGTAGGAAGGGCGTCGTGAGCAGTTGTTTTAAGGTGTTGAAGTCTACAATAAAGTAGCGACAATTTTTCTTCGAGTCAAACATCCCAAGTTTTATCAGAAGGTATTAAACACCTTTTGATTATTTTAAAGTTCAAGCGAATTGAAGTTTTTTTAGAAGTGTCAGATGAAGTTAATATCATTAGAAGGCACCAGATTTAATTAATGTACAGTAAAAATAAAAGGAGCATTATGAGACAACCAGTACAAGTTTCAGCTTGTTGTTTTGGGAGCACTGTTGCGGTTACATTTGTCAAAGAATTTAAAGCAAAATATGTACCGAATATCCAAATGTCATTGTACAAAACGAAACTACCGTGTGGTTAGTGTTAACTGGTCTATAGAGACACCGAAATGCTTGGGGTCAAAAAAACCAAAGTCTTCAACACATTATTTTTACATATATTTCATAGATTTTGCCTCTCCACAACCCTATAGCCTCCTTGTACAGCAATCATAGTTTTGAATGCCCTTAAGTGCCATGCTTGATATTTAAAGCCCTGTATTCCAGGGACCGGACATATGTATATAATAAAAGGTAATAGTTTGTTATTTCTTATTTTAATTTAGAATATCTATAAAACGGAATTCTTTGCCTCGAGTGAGGTTTTCTGCGATTACTTGGGGAATATCACACTATCCCGAAACTAAGGTACAGTAGGGAAATCAAATTTAAATTAGAATACTCAAAAATTTGTTGTGCATCATTTTTAAATGCAACAGCAGAATAAAAACGTAACAATTCTTTTTAGTTCTGCACAAATATATTGCTTTCCAACAGATTTCATATTAATTAGAAACTCATTAGATCATGAGTAAAATCGAAGATGAGAGAAAAAAAGAGCAGATTTTCAATCATAATTAAAAATGCCAATTAATTTAAATCGAATTCTGAACAGGAAAGTTTACCATAATACTGAGATCGTAAAGAAGCGGTAGGTAATGTCTAAAGTGGAGGATATATCAAGTGAACAATGATTTCTACATCTTCGCACGATTTACTGTCGATTTAGAAAGGGTTTTTTTGAACTTGGCTAGTAGAAGTAAAGTCCTGCCCACGCCAAATTTGAGGCGACGAACAGATCCGTCAAGCAAGCAATTGATTGCGTAGTCGCCCAAAGAAATAGAAACATTAAAGGTGCATTGCCACGAAAGCGCAATTAACGTGCTGACTTGCACCTTCAACTAACCGAGAACATGAGCATAACAAACTGGCACAGTATTTGTGCCAAGCAGAAAGAAAAATAAACGTATCTGTGGACCTAAGAAAATGAAGTTCGGGGTATAAACGTACCGTAAAATCTAATGTTTTAACGGAATCTTAGTAGATTTCCTATTTGTTTTGCTTAAAGTGTACGGTAACGCATAAGCGATTTTCTTCGTTTATATAAGTCAAAATAGGATAAAAGGAATCTAATTCATAAGCATTACAGTCCACGACTACTCAATTGTATTTATTAATACGTGGTCAATAACTATCCAAACAGCTAGTAAAAAAAGATATATTTAAGAGAACCTACAAACACGTGACGCAAAAAGAGATCTTACCGAGACAATGGTATACTATAATCATAGAATTAAATACTTGCAAGTCTTGGCAAAGATTTCATATTTTTATTATTTCATTTTGCACATGAAATGTATACAAACTGGCAAAAAAACAGATTCTGTGACATTCACTTCACAGACTGGAACGGGATGAAAGTTTTACCCATATACAAGCACGATAATATCTTTACAGAATAGACAAAATTTACATATCGACCCTGAAAAGCATCATGACCCACCCCCCTCCCAATCCCTATTGCAAACAGACCATAATATACTTTCTTTGAGGAACTCTGTCATTTAAACAACGTGGCAGCAACTTCAGGAATTAAAACTCTATAATTCTACGTTTCTACAAAAAAAAACGCATTAAAACCTTAGTCTATAATCCGAGCCATTCGAGGGTAAGTAACGCAAAATGCCACTGATCGACCGTTTAAAATAATCTGTACATGTGATTAGATAGAACTGGCTTACTTCCAACTACAAAAAGTTGGTCAAATAGGAATTGAATAAAAGTTTCCTGTACAGACACGATTTACATTCCCAAAATTTCAATTGAAATACACGAAGTGGGGAGGGGACGGGAGAAAGAGTAGGAAAGAGAAAAAGCGAAAGGTCTGTACAGGTTAACACACTGCTTTTGAACTTCACAGTTTTATAATTATTTATCACAATAAAAGACAAACAGGTTTTAACAAAACACCGGCCTGTGTATTCGAGCCCGGGGTTACCATTGGTCACAGGCATTATCATCACCACCACCACCACAACCAGGGAGAGGAAAGGGCATCTTTGTGCAACAAATTAAACTCGATGTTGGCACCAGCAGGTTTGGCTTTTGGCATTTCCGAGAGGTGGGGGGTGATCAGTTTTAAAAGCCAGGCGGGCGTTTGCCCCGCGGGACGCTCTAGGTGTGCGAGTAAAAGCCGTAAAAGGCCATCTCCTTGGCGCAGTTTTTCTCGCAGTCTCTCGGGGTCAGCGCCTCACTCTTCAGGGGAGACGGGCTCTCGGTGGCCGGGGCTGGAGGCGGTGGCCCATCCGCCGAGATGCGCCTCCTCTTGGCCTGCTCGTAGATACCCGAGTCGCCGGAGTCGATGGACTTGATGGAAGACGGTGCCTCGATCCAGGCCGAGTCCGGCAGCTCCTTGGGTTTCGTGTCCTCGGCGGCTGCCGCCAAGGGCGAGCGGTCTGAGCCCGGCCCGGGGGCCGGTGCCAAACCCTCAGCGGCCGCCGCCGCAGCTGCAGCCGCCGCCGCAGCCTCTTCCAGGTACGAGTTAGTGGACGCTCCGCGGGCCCAGGGCAGCACCGAGCTCGATTTGCACGAGTACTGCGGGCTGCGAGCACCCCAGCCGGACGGGTCTGGGTAGTAGCCCAGGGGTCGGGTGCTGGCCTGCAGCGGCAGCGCCTTCACCCCTACCCCGTACGACAGGATCGCGTTGCCGGCGAAGTCGGTATCGTAAGCCGAGAAGTCGAGGCGGTTGTTGGCCGGCTGCTGCAGCGGTGTGACGAACCAGCGCTGCGGGGATGGCGTGGCTGGTTCCTCCGCTTGCTGCGGGGACAGCAGCCCATTGCTGTGGGGGACACTCCGCTCGGCTCCTCCACCGCCGCCCCCGGCTCCTGCTCCTCCTCCACCTCCTGCAGCGCCCGGGCCGCCGTGGTGGAACCGGGCCTTGGCGTAGTTATTCACAAACTGCTCCTGCAGGAAAGACTGGGTGACGGCGTATCGGCTGCTGGGCACGATCTGAGACCGGGGGGAGTCACTCGGGGACGGGGTGAGCCGGTCAACCTCGCAGCCGGTGTAGATCCTAAAATGAGCAGAGAGAGAGAAGTTGCATCAAAACCATCACTAACTTGCCTTTTAAAGAGAAACTGATTCACATCAGATTCGCCGCCCACCCGAGTTTAAAAACCAGCAGGACCACACAATCTTAAATAATAAAAAAAGTCGTGCCCAGTTTGTGTCTTGTTCAGCCGGAAGAGGCTACGAGCACCTGGTGGAACTTTCATGTAACTGAAATAATAAGCGTACTGGAGAAACATGGGTCTGGCAGCATCTGTACAGATAAAACGGAGTTAGCAAGACCTGCCGTTTCTCCAGCACTCCGTTCTTGTTTCGGATTTCCAAAATCCGCAGTTGTATATTTTGATACAGTAGGTGCATGCTACATTCGACGCTTTCCCGTGCTGCCGAGCATTCGACGTCAACATTTTCCAGGACACCACGTAAAGAAATACAAACCGAGTAATCATTTCTTCCCTCAACTACATCAAAAGCAACAGCTGTATTTTAACTAGTGATGCGCTCAGATTCAAGATACCTTGATAACTGATTGGTAAACGAATTTTTAATATTTAAAAAGTAGGTGTGAACAGAATACCATTCCGTCCATTTAGCAGATTTCTTAATAAAACAAATTGAAGCGCAAACTTACGTGTCATAGTTATCTCTAAATCCTTTGGCAAAGGGATTGTGGTCTATTTTCAACTGTGTGATCTGTTTGAACAAAATTTCAATAGAAAAGTGATGCATCAATCATCCTGGTTTCTTAGCAACCGAACTATGTGCAGGCAGATTCTTAAAACATTGATAGGTTTGTGTCGAAAATTACTCCTTTATTTTACAAAGTTAAATTTGCTGAATGGAGTGAGGCGACCATGATTGTTGTACAGACTTGTAATGGAAGAGAATCACTTCCTGAAAACAAGTGAGACAATTATGTCGCATATTTTAATAATCAGGAATGCAGAAATTTTCAGCAATTTCCTCTAGACCGCCACAAAATTCGACAATTGTGTAAAGTAGTTGTGATCCACTATGAAAGGTTTTGAAACGGGTTTCATTGTGTCCCAGTGAAAATGTAGAAATTATAATTAACATGAATGATAATATTCTATGCTTTGCATTGCCAATTAATTCCTTACGTCTGTATTTTGATACGCTGTAACTGCTATGAACTGTGTCTCTGGGAAGGTGAAAGTCTGAACTCTGCCGGGCTGATTCGAATCCTCCGCTCCGTCCTCATTCACTTCAACTACGTGTAGTCGAGGTTGATATTTATGGAGAGACTGTAGAACCACCATCTGTCAGGAAAAAAAAACGACATGGAAATGCTTTATTTTTCCTGTCTTTTAAAACAACACAGCCGGCTAAGTAAAAAATCACGTTCCATATATTTTAGCTGTTAAGCTGTCGCACAACATCTTGTCAAAACTAGCGTTCATGTACCAGGGACTCATCGGTTAGTTGATTTCAGTATATTCAGTGTATAAAATGTCGATTTATCATTGGAATTCATTAGCAATACTCACAACAATGCTCAGATTTCATCCAAATAGGGGCATACCTGGCCGTTATTGTTTGATGCTCCCTTATTATTGGTCAGTTTTAATTTGCCGAACGAAATTTCTTGTCTCATCCAGTGGGCACCTGTGTTTGGCGAATCTGGGTGCATGTAGATCCTATTACCTGTAGAAGACAGACACCCAGAATTATAACCAAGGTCCAGTTCATGCAGTAGTTGAACATAACCGCCAATCTGGAAAAATGTATCGCAAGTCAGTGAGGCCACAAAACTAAGCCGGTTGGATTTTTAAGACTATTGGAGGAAAACAGTGCAACTCTATGCAACAATTACCGAATTAATTGTCATTCAAACCATAGTCCACATTCGCTGATGTGAAGCAGCGCGGATTAGAATAACTTGCCTTGCACATTGGTATCCGCTTTCCCACAAGGAACCCATTTTCCTCCTTGGAATCGCCAGTGATTCGGATCGGCCAGTATAATATCAACAAAGATATTGTAATGTGCAGTGGGGTCCAGACCGGAGATGTTAAAACTCAAAAATGGAAACATCCGCCTGAAACAGAGAGCAACATTTACGCACGAAATAAATAAGATAGGCATTAAAACAGGCGTGTGCTTAGTGTTGGGCTATGTCATGTATTATCAGTTCAGTTGTTGCTTTTTTGTGTAATCCACCTTCTAAAAATGTTAGACAATGAGAGATTCTGGAATATGTTGATGTATCTGCACATTTCCTAGTATCTCTTCATTAAAAAAAACGTAAATTTTAAAATTAATTCTTCGAGGAGTTAATTGTAAGTCCCAGGAACTGGAGACTCTCTTCAACATGTACATAACATAAATCCTCACCCATTCTTACCAGAACCAAAGCTATCCGCTCTCTGGAGACTCGTAGAAATACGAAAGCCTGTTTCGTACCATCCCAAACAAACAGGCATGGTTGCGTGTACAGTTAACAAGCTTTCGATTTAAAATGTTGCCGATTTGAAGTAAGCGTTCGCTTTGTCTAATCTGAAATGGTGAGATTACGTGGTGTTGGAAGAAAAATAAGTCCACTTACCTGCCTTGTTTCGTGATGATCATTTCTGTTTGATGCCTATGGAATTTAAGCCACAGTGGCCTATTACACAAGTACACTTGGGCTTTGCCGGGGACTAGTCCTGGCTGACCAGAAGAAAATTGATAGAAAGGTCCTCCCTGATAGCTGTGTCCATATTGTTGAGGGTAAGGATAACCAGCAGCCGGGTAGCCTTGAGGCGAAGAATTGGACAAAATACTATTGTAGGCTCCATTCGTGATCACAGGATGGTGAGCCATATACCTGCTCGGACTGCTAATAGAAAAAGCGGGATGTGTTGGTCCATGCTGGCCAGTGTAAGGAAACATAGCACTGGGAGCAGCAGTCGGTTGCTGTGGTTGGCTCGATTGTGACAGGAGATATCTGTCTGCCGCTGATCCATCGAAATTATGACGAATTTCAGAGACCCCGTCCAAAACAGGAGAGAGCTTGCTTCTCTGGACGTCCCCCGACGCGTCCTTGGAGTCAGGAAAATTGTCTGTCTCTGATTGATTCGTCATCCCCCTGGTAATTTTTTTCAGAGGTGAACTTCTTTCGAGGTTGTCACTGGCCGAGATGATAGGATCATGTAAAGCAAGCTCACTGTTGGGATAAGTGCTATTCACATTAAGAAATTTCTTGGGGAGCATTATAGATGAAGATAAGCAGTGCTCCAACTGCATAGCTTAATAAGTAAGCACCTCACCCTATAGAAACCTTCAACAGCAGATGCAAAAACCCAACCCGTTTGAAAGCAATTCTTTAAGCACTCTCACAAAGGCTGGTACTAGTTTTTTTTTTACCTTCTCCCCCCAGCCGAAAAGCGATTGGCCAATTGACACTTTGCAATAGTAAGGAAGGACTCACTTTTGATCTTCCCGGTTGCACAGCTAATGAAACGGCCCTTGCTATTGGTTAACTGCTGACAGTAATTTAATTAGACAGACATTAATTAGTATAATCACCTGAGTCCTAATGGCAATGATGGCAAATTGCAAGATGATCTCATGTTAGAAAGACAGTCTGCGTGTTACTAACAAGCAACCTTCCCTCCCTCTGTTTTTGGACAATGTTCCAGCTAGGAAGAGTCGACGGATACAACTGGGCTAAACTGGAAAGAATAAGGGTCCAATAAATTGTTTGAGTTTATTTTTCCACATCTGCGTTACAGAAATATTGATTATTTAATGGTCGGATAGCAAAAAAACCTGAAGTTTGACAAATCAGTTACAGGGAAAAAAATGAAGTGTTCAACTATAACTAGGGTAATAGTCTTTATTTGAAGAGCGGTGCTCTCGTAATTCAACAATTTAACAGGCATGCTCTTTTTGTGATCCGATGTTCAAACAATATTTTTGTACTGGCATACAGTTACTTCAACTGTACATATCACATTAGCTAATGTGTATCTCAGAAGGTCGTCGTTGAAATATTTAAGACTTGCATAAAGCTGATGGTGTCTTTGGGGTATATTTTAATAGTCTTGGGAGCTTTACAACAATCTTTATTTTTGAGTGCGCAATAATATAACCGAACACCAGCACCAACAGGATGATTTTTAAATTCTCATTTCCGGAAGTTATCATGGCATTAAAAAATCTTGAGATTTTGAGCGAAAAATCTAATATTAATGAATCACGCTTTCAGCACATAGAGACCATTGATATTTTAAACACTAAGTTAACTGTGAACTTACAAATGGATGTTTAATTGTAAAGAACTAAGTACACTTTTTTACAAGTGGACTCGGTTCATTTCCTTTCTAATGACCTGGGAAAAGCATTGGGAATAAACTTGTTATACCTGATACATCCTCAAGACGGCTACTTAGGAGTTGTATTGTTGACACCGCTTTCACGGTGGATTAGAACTTGCATCTCTAAAGCAATTCATAAAAGTTTCAAGCATTCCTTATCAATAGCAAATTACAAAGTATATACTTAATTATATCTCGCAAATCATTGGTCTAATTTGAAGGCGTTAGTCCGGTTTGAAAGAATGTCCCATTTCTACTTAAACTGTCATAGCCGTATTGCAAAGTATCACTGATGTGAACAAATTACCTATTTATAAATTAGATATTTTTTCAAATTCATGCAAAATGTAAAAAGCACGCTGAAGTTGATTCAGATCAGATTTTCCATTAGACGATGTAAAGAGCTAAACAATTGATTATCTTTCACTAAATATTTTTGGTTCAATCAGTGTACTGCTTTCTGCCCTTCTGAAAATCGGAATGATTTGCAGTCAATGAAAGTGACTTTTTAAAAAAAATAATTATTCCTCGTGAATAACAGAATTCCCTCGTGATGTTCCGCACCACAGCTTGAAAAGGACCAATTATTTTTCTGTGAATGAGCCCGTGATGGTGGACACTGACAGTTTTTATCGGTACAAAAAAGCGTCACTAAAATGGCACTTGAAATTGCATTCTGAGTTCACCATGAGCTTTATTTTCCTATTGGAGCGGAAATGTAGTATTTATAAGCACTTAGCGTCGTTAAATTAATAACTCAGCAAGTCACAAATTACTTCTAAGATGATGAAAAACAGTTAAAAGACCGTAGAAATGACTAAATTATATAAGAATCAAAGGTCGACGCACAAAAAGGGATTCAGTATTTCGGGGATTTATTTAGAAACTAAGTACGTTAACGGTGCTGGTGATCCTGTGTCAATACCACTCGAAGTTCCACAATAGAGATTTGGATCGCCGTCATAATTGTTGTGCATTAAGTTCATGTCAAGCTCGACTTTAAAAGTAAGTTTTCAGGGCCAGCATATTCCAGAGACCCAGCACATTTGTTCTAACTTCATCGGCTGCCCATCACCATATCATTTTTAAAACCTGAAGGACACTTTACTTGGATACAGCATCGACTCCTGGGATTAATTCGACGTGATTTCTTGACAACTGCCACGACGTTTTTGGCTTACATTATATAAATGATTACACTCCAACCCAACCCGAGAGATTTAACGACAAGTTAAGTGACATAGCAGTTGAAGGGAAAGCAAAAGGGGTTTAAGGGAATTTGAACATTTTCTACAAGGATTTTCTGTCATGTGTCTACTTGGCTCATCTTCCTAATTACATTTTCATGTGATTACACAATTAGCTCACACACGTATTGTATTATGGTTTGGTGGGCCTTTGCTTTATAATACCAAAACACGCACCATTACTGGTAATGAAGACTATACAAATCGTATGCAAGATTGTCTTTAGTAAAATGTACAGCCTTACGAGCATGAATAGAGGAAATTAATGTCTGAACAACTCTAGAATTCTACAAAGGTTTCCATCCGACGTCCGGAACACTTGCTACTGAACTGGAAAAATGTACCAGCAGGAGAATTAGAGACCGAATACTCTCTTTTCTCTCAATTACTTAATAACCTTGAAGAGGGTAACAACAGGATGTCGCTTACTAAAACAGAGGGTTGAAATTTAGAATATTCTATTTTTTAAAAACAATTCTTAAACCTGTAGAAAAAAGTCGATTTTCTTATAATTGATTTCAGCAACAAGAAAAAATGCTCAATGTTGAAATCACCGGCACAAAGGACACATCTATTAGGCAAATTTAACTCCTCGCTGAAGTCGGGTTCTTTTACCTCCGAATTGGGACTTTTACTCTAGTTAAATAAACCTTTTGATAATACTAAGGCTCATGTAACGATATCTCGCAATATTATGAATAATTTTCAGAGTTGCATTTAATTGCAGATCGCTTTACCTGTTTCTTGTTCTAGGCTGAAGTAGTAAGTTTAATATTGGAAATAATTACATGTTTAGATTATGCAGGAATACAGTTTATGGAACGAGTGTGAGGCTTCGAACTTATTTTTTTAAACAAATGTGTTTGCCTAAATTCTTTTCATGAAAATATGAATTCCATCAACCTGTTACAAATAAGTGACACAATCAATTTTAAAATGGGATTATTTCTATTGGACGGGTATAGTCGTTCAAAACTACCAATCATAAATTACTGCTGAATGTATCAAGGTTAATCATAACAGATAACATTTTAGGTTTTAAAAAAAACTTGTCCGCCTCCTATTCATGAATTAGTGGTTTGATGTATCTTTACAATCTTTGTGCCAAGCAGTTGGTTGAGAAATGTCATTCTTCACAGACGAGATTCTAGTTTGACCTTAGCATCTGCCATATTCACAGCTACGACCCTAGAGGTGTTAGACATGTGCTACCTCAGCAGCGCTGAACAGCTCTTAATAAACAAGGAAGGATCGGAGAAATGCATAACTGCTTTTGTGTGCCTGATTGAGGTTTGGCGCTTTGAAAACCCCGCAGCACTTCATTTTGAAGTCTTCAAAATGACGGAACCCTTTAGTACAAGTCTGACGTTGTGGCATTGAAGAGTTAAGTTACAAATTGAAGGGAAGATCTAACTTTATTGCTTGAGATCTGGTAAAGATAAATGACAATAAAAATATTAAAATCAAACTTGGATATGAAGTTTAATCTTCATTTTTTTAAACACGGAAAATAAAGACAAAAAGGCAGGATCCATCTTCTTAACAATGGAATCAAAATAAGCAATGATAGGTTGCTCAATGACATCATTGTTCGCAGCTCCCAACGTCTATAGTTTTTGTAAGTAAAGCCTTTAGCGGCCTCAGTATTACAAGTCATCAAACATTAATGACAATTTAAAAAAAAACAATGCATTCGTCCTTTATAGCATTACAGTTCATTATTTAAATACAACTGTATCCAACATGGCTGCTAGGCACTGCACGATATTTGAAGTCATCACAACATCCACATGCTCTTCCAAATGGCGTTTTGGATCCTATGAAACAATTAGGTTACAAGTTATTGAACAAATAGATTATTTTCAAGCTAGCCAGTTATTTTCCAGAAAAAAAAGTACATTTATCTAGATTCTTACATTTTAAGTACTCTAAAATGGCATCAAAAAAGGCCATTATAATATCTACATTCTTCAGTAACATTAACAGTCCAATTTAGCCAATGCAACTGAAAATATTTCAATGCAATTAAAATCTAAAATTAAAAGAACTTACATTCCATATCAGAAAAGGTAATAATTTCTGCATATAATTCATACTTTTGAGATTATTACCACAGCTCAATTCAGCAGAGAGATCAAATCAGTCACCAAAATTCCCAGGCTGGATTACAGTTTAGAACAGTGGTTCTCAAACTAGAGGCCATGAAGACTTTACAGGAGAATCCACAAAACAATGTGATTGGGCCTGTCAGTGTACCTGCAGTTGATCATTAGTTTGATTTCCTTTGTCCACTCAAGTGACACAACAGAGTGCTCACCAGACAATTGGACGTTAAGCCTGGGAGTGTAATGCACCTGCACAATGAGATATTGGTTCTCACTGCCAAGTGTGCACTTTGCCATGGCAGCTCCAGAAACAGATATCAGATTAGAGTAGTTAGACATAGAACATCGAACATTACAGCGCAGTACAGGCCCTTCGGCCCTCAATGTTGCGCCAACCTGTGAAACCAATCTGAAGCCCATCTAACCTAAACTATTCCATTATCATCCATATGTTTATCCAATGACCATTTAAATGCCCTTAAAGTTGGCGAGTCTACTACTGTTGCAGGCAGGGCATTCCACGCCCTTACTACTCTCTGAGTAAAGAACCTACCTCTGACATCTGTCCTATATCTATCACCCCTCAATTTAAAGCTATGTTCCCTCGTGCCAGCCATCACCATCCGAGGAAAAAGGCTCTCACTGTCCACCATATCTAATCCTCTGATCATCTTGTATGTCTCTATCAAGTCACCTCTTAACCTTCTTCTCTCTAACGAAAACAGCCTCAAGTCCCTCAGCCTTTCCTCATAAGACCTTCCCTCCATACCAGGCAACATCCTGGTAAATCTCCTTTTCAACCTTTCCAATGCTTCCACATCCTTCCTATAATGCGGTGACCAGAACTGTACGCAATAGTCCAAGTGCGGCCGCACCAGAGTTTTGTACAGCTGCAACATGACCTCATGGC